GATGAGGGGTGGGTTTGGTAGGATGTGTGTCACAGAAGGTCAGAACACAGGCACTGCAAATGATGAAGAGAGACAATGGAATGCATTCCTTTATTACAAGAGGGCTTGAATGTTAAGGTACGGATATGATGCTTCTGTTATTGAAGGAAGAATGTAAATGCATTGGAGGCAGTTCAGAACACAGGTTTACTAGACTAATACGTGGGATAGAGTCATAGAGTTGCACAGCACGGAAACAGACCCGTTGTTCCAACTCGTCCATGCCGTCCAGATATCCTAAATTAATCTAATTCCATTTGCCAGCATTTGGCCCTTATCCCTCCAAACCTTTCCAAATATGTACCCATCCAGATGCCTTTTCAGTGTTGTAATTGTACCAGCCTTGAGCACTTCCTCTGGCAGCTCATTCCATACACACACCACCCTCTGCGTGAAAAAGCTGCCCCTTAGGTCACTTTAAAATCTTTTCCCTCTCACCTTAAACCTCTGCCCCTTAGTTTTGGACTCCCCCCTACCCTGGGGAAAAGATCTTGTCTATTTGCCCTATCCATGCCCCTCATGATTTTATAAACCTCTCTAAGTTTGTGCAAGGTTGTGAGAGTTTGGAGCTTGTCTGCCTCAGCAGGAGGAGACTGAGTCTCAGTTTCAGGCAGAGATGGATAGATTCTGATTCAGCAGGAGAATCGAGGATTATCTGGGTGGGGCTGGATGGAAATGTGGGATTGGAAGGACAAACAAATCAGCCATGATTCTATTGAATGGAGAAGCAGGCTCAAGGGGCTGAATGGCCTACTCCTGCTCCCGTGCTCTTTGAAAATGTTTGAGCCACATAGTGGGGGCAGGAGGCTACAAGTTAAGATATTCACGAACAAATCCAGTGAGGTATATCCTTCTCCGGACAGTAACGAAACCCGGAATCTTTGAGTGGAATGGCATTGATGCTTTGAAGGGATGTGTATATGAGGGGGAGCAGAAGACGAGGATAAGGGGATAAGGTGAGTTAAAGAGAGGGTGGGAAGAGACTGTGAAACGCTGCATGAACTCAATTGGAATAGATGACCTGTGTCCATTTTTGTAGGAATTCAATACACACGGGTATAAGATTTCAAAGGAAAGTGTTTGCCATCCATTGAGAGCTCCCTAAGGCAAGACCTGTTATGCCTCAATGATGAAATGATTCTGAGTCAGCACGTCTCAATATATGCTGCTAGATTGTGACACAGCGATTGGCATCTCAAAGACCAGGCTTATCAATTAAAGAAAGGACTGTGAACACACAAAGTGCTGAGAGGCTCAAATTGCTTGTTAAACCCACACAAGGCTGCGTGACTGAAACTGCAGAAAATTGCTGTCCATTTTCTTCCATTACCTCTTCTTGTTTGTCAGTCACTTGCTGCCTTCACACAAGATTTCTGCTGGCACTGCTGTCTCTTGCCAGTGTTTTTCACTCCCTCTCCTGCCAGTGACATGCCCCCCCGACCTCCAGACAGAGCCCCACCCCTGAGTCACTGCCCCCCTTCCCACAGTCACTGCCCCCCTCCCCACAGTCACTGACCCTCTCTACAGTCACTGACACTCCTCACAGTCACTGTTCCCTCCCCACAGTCACTAACACCCTCCCCACAGTCACTGACCCTCTCT